GAGAGAGAGAGAGAGAGAGAGAGAGAGAGAGAGAGAGAGAGAGAGAAAGAGAGAGAGAGAGAGAGACAGAGAGAGAGAAAGAGAGCTGTGCTTCGCGAAGAGAAATGTCTCCAACGTCCCTCCGCGTTCCTCCGCGCAAATTACTTACTCGGCCGCGGTGGGAAATTCAGAGAAATACTTTTCTTCCGCGTGCTCTTCGAAGTGGCTTCGTCGCGACTGCGTTTTAATCACTGATGGCCGGGCAGGCCGTGATTCTCCCGTGATACGAGGGACTCGGTGTCTCGATATTTCCCGCTGTGCCGTCGAGCATTCATCGTTTCCACGAGTATCTACCGTGACACGGGTCGCTGTTCATTACCTGCGCGTGTACACACCTGTGAGAGAAAGAGAGCTGCGCGTGGGAGTCCTCGGGGAGTTCACCGGCGTTTCGCGTCGCGTTCGAAGTGTGTCCGCGTCGGCGGTTCCCGGAACTAGCTTCTTCTGGAAACGTCATCGATTACTTAACGAGTTCCGCGTCATCGTCAATTTCCCGAAGAGCTGAAACCACTCTCGTTGAAGCGGGCATCTCGAATTTACAGGGCGGCGTCAGGTGTCATCTTCTTCCTCGAAGTCACTTGGGCCATCACGTTGTTTGTACAGGTGTGCGTCAGGTACGTTTAAACGAGAAGTTTCATTAGAAACAATTCTCTTCTCTCGATAAGTACTATCATTAATTATAAATTAATTATAAATTATTAATTATAAATTACAATAAGTACTATCGTTAAAAATTGTCACGAAAGTATTTCAGTTATATCCCAGATACATGCATGTCTAAAAGATATCTTTTCGACATCTTTATTTCTATATCTTTTCGATATTTTCTATTTTTCTCTCTTTTTTCTTATCTTTTTTTTTTTTCATTTGGAGTACACATTTGGCGTGTTGGTCGATACGGCGGACACGTGTCGCTGTTATTTTGTGAGCAAATTGCTGCTCGAAACAGCATCAGCCTCGCATCGGACACTCGCTCGTTGCACGAGCAAGGGGTTAAAAGGCCCCCGGGGAATCGCCATAGTCCGAAGCCAGCCCGCAGGATAACGCGGAAAAGAAACGACGAAGCCGGTCGGCAATTACCAAGCTGGGTCGGAGGTTCGCCCCAGTTTTCTGCGTTTCCCGTCGACAGCGAACGGTCGGAGGAAACGCGGACCACCGCGGCAAAACTAGATATAACGCTCAGCCGTGCAAAAAGCGAGGCGAACACCGTAATCGACCTCCAAAATGAGAGAGTCTTATATTGTACCTTCAAAATTAATTTCTTCGAAATTAACACATTGGCCGCGGCGTCGATCTGCGATTGTTTGTACAAGAACTTAATTGACCCTTAGTCAGGCAGGAATTATTCAATCCAGTACGTTTCTTAAAATAAAGGTGAAAACTTGACACATTGATATAAAAAATATGGACAACACTGAGGTTCTTTGTAATCAAATCAAGAAATCAAATACAGTCAATTCTCTTCTCTTTAACGATATTCACTGACAAATTTGACCTTTAAAAAAAATAAGTAAAAAAGATGCAAGTAGAGTAAACAAATGGCGCAACTGCTAGAAAATAAAAACTGTACTTTAATTGATTTTAGGCGCTTATAAGGCTTGGGTCTTTCTTGCTTTATGTAGAAAGACGTACGGAAAACGCAAGAATCATCATTTTGTGGGCTGAATCATTGTTGCATACTTATGGCCAATTGACAATAGAATTATTAACGATACGGTGAAGAGAAATGTAATATTTTTGAAATATCAGTCTATCTTTTACATCGTTTCATAAACTCTCTGCTGGTCACACCAATAATTTTATTCTTTAATATAATTGATTAATAAGTTGCATTAATAAAAAAATATTTATACATTACATTAGTTGCATCTGTGAGAATTAATAATTCAAAAAATTAGTAATTAATTATACTTTATATGTAACTTAACGAGATGCGGTAACATCATATAGTATGCCGCCAGTAACCTTTTTTTATTTCTGCTGTTTAAATTCTTTGGAGTGGAATCTTACTCGAAAGCAGTATTTTCTCTCGTGGCGATAGACAGAAAATACTACCACTCAAAATCGCAAGAATGAATGTTTCACTCAAGTCTGCGAGCAAACTCTGACTTCATAAGAGCGAACGTTTCAATCGATTAGAGTGAATGTGTTCCTGTGACGCTGAAGTATATCGAATTCACTCTTCAACATTTCGAGTGGGAATATTCACTCGACAATTCGGAATGAAGAATTCGTTCCACATGAGTGAAAAATCACTAAAATTCGAGAGACTCGGCGGTCACTCTGCTTCCCGAGTGAAATTTCGCTCTGAGAGATTTACGTGCGAATATCCAAGTTCTCGGGTACCATCCAAGCGGGTACCACCCAAGGTACCGAGAACTTTTCTAAGAAAGTCAGATACATGAGATCGGGGCTTAGTCTTTCCCGCGTGTTACTCAGAAGACCCAAGAAATCGCCTCGGAGGTCCTCCCACACGGAGAAAAATAATTTGGTCTTTTAGCAAAATCGTCGTTGATACTACATATTCGTAATGACATTAAAAAAATTTAGTTGACGTAACTAATTTTACAAATCATTCGTTATCAGAGCAGAAAGTTTCGTTGCCAGGATAGAAAAAATTTGTTGAGTGTATTTGTCCTAAGAATCATGTTAATTTGCTATTAATGCAAAATAATGTATCCTTAGCAAATTTATTTGCTGTCGGAGCAAAACTGCAACTGCTTATATATCCATCATAGTTCTTATAGCAAAATAGTTTGTAGATTTAGCAAATTATATCCAGCAAATACTGATTAGTATTAGCAAATCTTTTTGCTGTGCATATAATAACGAAAAGATTTTGCTAGACCAGCAGAAAATTTGTTGGATCAGCAAATTATTTTTCTCCATGCGAGAATATCTATCTGTCGTCTGTCTGATTAATTCCGGATAGATACTTCTCTGATACTTCTCGGATAAAAACCTACACGGAAAAAAAAGATCTGCTACATATGGACGACTAACATTATTTGCTGTATTAGCCACTTTTTCTTTGCTGCAGGAGCCAATTTTCTTGCTATGATAACAAGAAAATCTGCTCCTGTAGCAACAAAAAAAGTAGCTAAAGCAGTAAATTATGTTTGTCCATCTGTCAGCAAATTCGCTAAGTTAGCCACTTTTCTTGTTGTAGAAGCGGACTTTCCTGTTATCATAGCAAGAAAATAGGTTCCTACTGCAAAAAAAAAGTGGCTAACAAAAAGTGGCATACAACAAATTAGCAATGCAGCAAATAATTTCTTTCCGTGTACGCATCATGCGGCCTATTTACAGACCACTCTGTGGTATTAGATCACGTCTAGTATTCACGTACCGGCAAAACAGCGTGCATTGGAATCGTACGGGTTAATTAGTTCACCCGCGGGGTACATTTTTCGGCGGAATTCATCTCGAGATAAATTCCGATCTTCGATATCACAGGACGGTGATATCAAACGCTCGTCGCGCCTTCCAAGTTCCTCGTATCGATCACCGGCGGGACCGATGGGACGGACGTCGCCGGCATCCTCGGCGTATTTGGCAGCTGGCGGTGGGAGAAAGTTTCCACGGAGAGATCGGTTTTATCGAGCAACTTAGCGCGATCCATCCGGAATTGACGGGGTTCCTCCCCGTCCGCGGAAGTTACGTTCCCGACGGTGCCATTAAAAGTGCGCGTCCGAACGATCGATCACCACTCACGGGATCCACGCGGGACGATCGCCTCTGCCGGCGGTGTGGAAGGCAGAGCAGGAGGACCGAGGGCGAGGGCGTGGGATGTGCACATCGCTGTGGGAAGGCGAATTTTCCGGAGACATGCTCGTTTTCATCGTCGTCATCAGGCGCGCCCGAAAGTTCGAGGACGACGACGACGACGAGAGTTCGCGCGTGTTTTATCTCGCCGATTCGCCGTCGCCGATGTAACAACGTTAATCTGCCGGGAATCGATTAAGGACGAGTTTAGCCGTCTACCACGACTAATTTCGTAAATCAACGGTGTGTTCCGGTGCGCGCGCGACGCGCCACCGCGGAAATTTCCCTGATAATTTCGGGGTCGCGGCCTCGTTTCCCGGCAATTTCCTCGTCAATGCGATCACCGGCGAGTTTCCGCCGAATTGCGTTACACAAACGCGATCGTGTACGGCCCGACGCGCATTGCGTAACGTCAGAAGAACGCGATATCACGTTTACACCGAGGTGCAAAAATGTAAAATACGAACGAGGCGCGTCGAGACGACGGTATCGCGGCGGAATCTGGTTCCGCGCGGATTCGGAAATTCGATCTATTAGTCTCATATAAACTAATGGCAGTCGACGCACGGAAAGTAGTATCGGTGGAAAAATCGTTTTGCTATCCCCGCCGCTTCCACGAGAGTGAGGGAGGGGGAGGGAGGGACAGTTAAGTAGAAATTGATGGGGCCGTAACGGCCGATTAAGTGCATTGATTGCATGCACTCGCGATGCCACGGAATATTCTTGCACGTAAAAGTTGCGTTTTTAACGCAATATTTATATATATTGACAAAGTATGTGGAGTCTCGTCGTTTCGTTGAACGCGCGAGTTCGTTCACGGGGCTTGATATATCGTCCATCTGTTTCGATTGGTCTACTTGCTTGAGTGTTTTAAGTTTAAGCTTTAAAAACTTTCGCCGAGTCTCTCTCTAAAATGCATGTATGATTTTTTACGAGGACGTAGTACATGTATATGTACGCGCAGAAGAAAAATTCGGTTCTATGACGGATTTTCTGTTGTCTGGGAGCCAGACGAAAATTTACTTGTAGAAAGATTTCTGTAGGAAATTTCTATTTAGTTAATTCTTCTCGGTTATCTCAATCGTGTTTTAATGCAGCCGAACAAACTTAAACAAACGTTTTATCGCGATAACGTGAATATCGTTTCCTGTTTTCGCCGAGTTTTCGTCTGGTCTCACTTCGTATACACTGGTTACATAAATTGACATTTTTTCTGAGTGTATGTTCATAAAATATAACATATATATATAGTATAACATATATATATATAATGTAATGTAGTATAACATTATATGTCATATATTATTATATTTATAGTTAATATAATAATATAATGTATATGAATAATATACGTATAGATTATATACGTTAATAATGCATTAATATTATTATATTTGTGACATTTAATAATCCGTCATATTATATATATTATATTATGATGTATGATAATAATCATTTATAATTGAGACGCTTTCGAATAAATTCGAATTTGGAGTTTCGAATTAGATTGCGATTTATTTGATTAGAGAAAAGTTTTTCGAGAGTTTCTCTAAAATAATTGTACAAACATACCTATATGTGTGTGTATGTGTGTGTGTGTATATATATATATATCGCTGAAATGTTTGATCGTCACGTGTCCACAGGAGCGAGGATTCTCTTTGTTCGCATTGCTGGCTGAGCGTCCTGGCGACGACCCGAGGATGGCGGCGGGCGTTGTTCTACTTGCCGTTGTCCTGTGTTCTGGCGTGGCGACCTAACCGGCTCTGGCTGTCCTACGTCGCGGGTAAAGACGTAAACCCCTTTCGTGAATTGCGCGCGTGTACCTGTCCCGTTTGCTCCCTATTTTCGTGAGATATACTCGGTATACCTATGTATTCCGCAGCCGGCATGTTGGCGGTGCTGTCCTTGTTGCATATTGCATCGAGCGCGCTCGGACGGCGAGGTCCTTGCCAATCGAATGGGGCCGATTCGGTCGGCGAGAGCCTCTTGAACTCCAGGCAGGAGAATTACGATCGCTTTGAGGAGGTTCTAGTGAGTATTTTCGAAATTCGCCGTATTGGCAACGAATCCCCCCCCCCCC